AGGCAGAACAAATATACATTTGATGTGATGTCATATACGGTTCAGTTTTATTTCAGTTTAAATATATTTAGCCTGTCTACTCCTTAGTCATGTATTTTAATCTTTCCCTTTTGTCACTGAAAAATTACATTTTGCTAACAGTTTTGGAAGTTGGGCTGTGGCTAAATCTTTCAGGAGCAACAGGTTGTGAACTTCTGCTGTATGTGTGAAATGCTTCATCTATGTATATGGCAAAGCTCTACTTACTTATTTACTTTTTAGATTGCTATCCCACCTTTTAGTCAGGCACAGCAGAGTGCTCCCTTTTCCCATTTTCCGACAGCAACAACCTCGTGAAGTAGGTTGGGCTGAGAGTGAATGATGGCTCAAAATCATCCAATACGTTTCTGTGACTCAAAGTGGACGTGAACTTGGGTCTCCCTAGTGCCAATCCAACATCTTTACACTACACTGGCTACATCTGCTGAGAACACCAGACTATTCTAGCGATAGGATTCTTGTTCCAATTAAAACCACTCATATGAAATGGCAATTGAATGGAAAAGTTGACCCTGTGCAGATATTCAGAATTATTCTTCCTATAATCTCAGCATTTTAGAGATGTAGATATCCACAGCTAAATTGCCATTTTGTTGGAATAGCAGCATCCTGAGAAATTTTGATCAGACAAATCGTGTAGATTTATTTAAAGCTGAAAATAATCACACTGGATTCCTGATTATAGCAATAGATGCTAACCATTTGTTAAATGTGATATTCATTCATTCTAGATGAGGAATAAATAAATTTGAAGTCAGGTACTAAAAATATTAATCGTGTTATTTTACTTTCAGATTAAAAAACTGAAATTGCAGTTGGAAGAGGCACGGCAGAAATCTTCTAGGAATGAAGGCACAAATTCTGATTTAACAGGACTGGAAAATGGTTCTGATTTACAGTTAATTGAAATGCAGAGTATGTTAATTCATTCAGTAATCAAAGAGGATACACTTTGAACAGTCATGATTTCTATGCAAGTTTTCAGTTTATGTGTTTTGCAATTTTATACCAGGATGATGTAGCAGATGTACTTAATGAAAGCATTTGTACACAGCCTTTAGACTTATAATCTGAAAGGCACAACACAAAAGAAAAAATGTGGGATACTAAGAAAAACAAGCAAAGTCAGGTGCCAGTTGTGAAATTTATAGAGTTCTTGTGATAACCAGAGACAATGGAAACAATACAGAAAGAAAGCTTATTTCTCATTTGAGCTGTTAGACGTCTCTCCTGTCATGTGGTGAGAAATATTTTGATCTAACAGTTAATTTGTAGAATCTTTTGATCTAGTAGTTGGCTGTTTTTTAAATAACCACATTTTCATTGTACTTAAGATTAAAATACTATTATCCTGGTAAGTTATACTGCTTTTTGTATTCCAGTAAAAATGTTGACTAAACTCCTGAGATCTTAAACATTCACCTCATAAACACTTCAGGAAAAAATGGAAAAATACCAGTCTCCAGAATTGCCTAATTGCCATATTCAATGCTTTGTTTTCCCTCAGGAACAAAAATTTGCAATAAAAATGCAAAAAGTTGGATTTGAAGTGAATTCAGAAGTTTGGTTTACCGTCCTTAAATTCTGAATTTTCTTGTCTCTAGGAGATGCCAACAGACAAATAAGTGATTTCAAATTTAAACTTTCAAAAGCTGAACAAGATATAACTACTTTGGAACAAAATGTAGGTATCTATTAAGATTTTGATAAACTTAAGGGACCTACCCTCCCTGACTTTTTCCCTACTTCATCTCATAATATGTCTCTCTTGCAGCACTAGTATGGGAATCTTGTCACTTTATTATCAGGTCAATGATGCACAGGGGTTGATATTTCCTTAAGAGTATCATCCCTTCAAGGAATAGAGTTAGTGATGTATATATGAGTTGATGGCCCAGAAAGATACTTGGGCATCTCAGGCTAAAAGAAATGGAAAGAGGACTGTGTCAGAACTAGAAACTGTGTGCATAAACACTGACACAGGGAAATATTCACTTATAGTCAATGATAATGTTGATGCCACACTTGCATTTCATTTAAATTAATTAGTATTCTGTTGAGTTTCTGGGCATGATTATCAGTTGAGTACATATTGTTGGTTCCATTGATACTGCTGTTTGCACTGGTTGCCTGGGAGGAACAGTGAAGGTAAATGCTCTCCTTTTAGTGCTTCTAAGGAAAGGTCAAAATTACATTGGATCTTCCTTGCATATGGGAAGATAAACAAATAATTGCTTATTGGTCTTTTAGGTTCTAAGACTTGAAGGACAGGTGGTAAGATACAAAACTGCTGCAGAAAATGCAGAAAAAGTAGAAGATGAACTGAAAGCAGAAAAGAGAAAACTTCAACGAGAGGTAAGTGCCTCCTTTTTCTTTCAGTGAAAACAGATTATAGTAATTGAGCTGTAAATGATGTGTGCTATATTTAAAGGTAGCTTGAGATTATTCTCAAAGTAATATAAATACTCTGCCTGTAGGTTTCTTGCAGTTGTGGCTATGAAATTGTGTGTTCATAGGACTGCCAGAAACCAAACCATTCACAGCATTCAGCATCCAAGATCAAGCTATTAACATTCAGCAATAAAATAATCCATATCCAGCAGTACAATGTTCCTCCATCCCCCCTGAACCCCAAATAATATATGAATGGGAATATGAGGTCTCTGGGAGGCAAACATCTTCAGTTTCTGCCCTTTACACCTCCTATTCATATATATACTTTCAAAATGATACAAAATTGATCTGTGACTCAATTTTGGATCATTTGAAGGGAAAATTAAGGGCGGAAATAGGAACAGTTTGCTTCCCAAAGAACTCATGCTCTTATTCCTACCCTTAAAAAAAAAAAAAGGAAACAGCAGCTTCTACCTGGTGTTCATCATTGCTCCTTCAGGTGATGATACCATATCACCATGAGGTCTTCTGCAGCCTCCTGGAAATGTTCATCTTATATTCAGAAGCTAACTAGCATAGGAAAGGCCTTTTTTCGGGTTGGAAAGGTACTCTCCACTTAATTTCCCAAAGGAGGTAGGGCAGCAACCAGAATCTTAGTCTTTCTGTTTTATTGTAAGAGACCCCATGAAGGAATCCCAGATCATCAACTTTCCAGAATTTGGAGCCATTTGCCTAGAACACCAATTTACGCCATGGCTGATGATGCAGGGTTTACATAAACAGAAAGCATGAGCTCTAGATTATATATGATGGAGCTGCCATGCCATCTCAAGAAACAGGAACCAAAACAAAAAAATGATATCTGTCCAGATATGTGATCAGACATTTAAGATTTCAAGTTTCAACCATTTAGTCTTCTGAAGCACCACCTTTTCATTACCATATTTCACAATAAGATGTTAGAAAGAAATTACAGAACTTGTGTACTGTTTGGTCACAGAATCAAAAGAATTCTTCTGTGTCTCATTTCTATTCCATAGAACCCTAGAGGATCTTGTGAATCAAGGATAACAGGTGGACATAATGGCCAATGTGATTGAGTTTCTTAAATTCCTGTCCTTATGAACTTATTCATAGCATGTCTTGTCCACTTCCAACTTAAAAGGGCCAACTAATGTAGGATCCCATCTTTCTCTAGAACTCCAAGTTACTTATAATTAACCTGTAGTGTCTGAATAAGAACTATTAATTAACGTATATTACTTTGACCTAATAGTGTTTACTGTCCTAGAATCTAGAATAGTGTAGGAGGTCTATGAGTACATCTAGAGGTTTATGACCTCAAGTCACCTCACTATTACAATCACCAATCTCCTAATCAGTGGGGAGGATTTCTTAGTTGGCCTTAAGCCAAATGTGCTAGAAATACATGTCTGTGTTCTCAAGTCTGTTAAGGAATCTTAATAGAGTTCTGTGAGATCTGTCCATGTATTGGATTACTCAAGCATGCATTTCTGCTTAATATTGCCATACTCCACAGATTCTTCCCATCTTCTTTTCAAGCCTCAGAGCAGTTTTCTTCAAAGTCCTGGCACTGAAGACAATATTCTATTGATGGCATCAGCAAAGCCTGTTTCAGAACTATTTGGGGTGTGGACTCTTAACTGATAAAGTGGTTCTCAGACCATATACAGATGTATCCCAAATATAAATGAAAAACAAAAGGTTCAGGGTATAGTTCTACTGCACCTCACTTTTCTATCTTCTTTGAGAGTGATACATGCTGGATAACCACAGAGGTATAAAATGTTACCTAGATTGGAACACCTGAGATATCACAGTCTCTTTAACTTCTTTGTTCATTCTCCAAGGGCAAGGTTTCCACTATCACCTTAGCCACATCTAAGCAGAAATATCTATTCTGTCCTGTCCTGTCCTGTCCTGTCCTGTCCTGTCCTGTCCTGTCCTATCCCTCTAGTGGCTCTAAAATCACTGGATGTAATCCTAGAGAACATCATCAGAAAGTTTTTCAATCTTGGGATGAAAACATTCCCATTCTCAAAAGGGTGCCTGCAGGGGCATCCACCAAAGAATATTAGAAGGAGGCTAATGGAGGGATATTTGGCCCACTCAAGAGTTGTAGTGCTTTTGTTTCCAAGCTAGCAGCCTTCCTGAATTCACAGTGAGAAACATACATTCTTAACTTACCCTTGAATTTCTACTCTCCTTGATCTGATCTTAACCTCAGGCCAAACATAGCCAGTCCAAAGCTAGATACAGGTAGGTAGGTAGGTAGGTAGGTAGGTAGGTAGGTAGGTAGGTAGGTAGG